GTTTTTCAATGTTTTTATTTTCCAGAATTGAAGGAAAAACGAGATACTAAACCCAATTTAACTATCTTAATGAAACATTCTCAAGTTCTGGAAATCTTATTTTGTCTAATATTAATTCAATTTTTCTCCGTGTACCTGTTGTCCCGCTTCGCTTTTTTACAAGCCAACGGAAAGGGAAAGAGTCAGAGGAAGACGGAGAGAGTCATCGTCGCCTGACAGCAGTGCAAACAAATTGTGGCGACAGGAAGTGCGGGGGCCACAGGGAAAGTTATTCCATTCTTTCGGACTCGATAGGCAGCGCCCGAGTTACGAGGTTTACGAGGTTTACGGTTCGAGTGTCCGTGTCTGGGATCTCCGTCAATTGATTGATGGGTCTGCCAATGCCGCCTGACGGCCAACGACTCGTTGAAGCTTTCCGAGCTTACTTATATTTACTATAGTTGCCGTGCTCAAAAAACAAAAGTACTCCGAAGATCTCAATAAGCGGTGGTGCACTAAATATGACCCATCGATTTGCAGATAGATTTTAGAGTGTGCAAAAAAGTTTGAGAGCTCCACTGATTAGTTAATATTAACACTAACATTGGGAACTTCTTTACTTTCCTATTTTACTTAACTTTCCAGGGAAAGTTAAAGACAAACCAGCTAAAATCTGGCCTGTCAAATCTTTTCATCTTGATGATTTCATTAAAGCTCCACCCCAATTAGCCCAACTCCAATCCCAGACGATAAATAATATGTTAGTACAAAGGGAACCACAATTAACCCGCAAATATTGAAGGACACGCCCCTGCCAAACACTTTCCCCCTTGGCCAGCCCTCAATTCTCCCCAGCTCCCCGCTCGTTCGCACACACTATCTTAACAAAATGGCAATCAATTTCTCGCGCTGTAAATTAACAATCATCGCCGGTGTGGGGTTAGGGGGTTGGATTTCGGCGGGAAAGGACACAGCACGGCAGCTGCTAACTGCCACGCGGGGGGGAATACCCCTGCGGCAGAAGGACCCTCTTGCAGCTAACTATGGCCCGCAATCAGCGTACATTAATATGCACGAAAACAATAAACAATCCAGGGGACGGCGAGAAGAAACCAACATGGAGCAGGGGGCCAAGGGGCTCAGGCAGAGGCGTTACAGCGGCAATCATGCAAAAAGCAAGCAAACGCCGCCATTATGGCCATCCCGCTCCGACCCACACCAGGCCAGGACTCCCCCATCTCGCTTCCTCTCTGCTGGCCCGACTCAACTGACAATATTTATTGCAAATGCAGCAATAAATTTCAAAACACCATTCGCTAAGCACCACATGGGGTCTCGAAAATTGAAGATAAATTTTAAGGCGGCAATTTATGATTTGTGGGCATAAGCGTGAGTCAGGGGCATCCAAGGGGGAGGGTGGCTTTGGCAGAGGGGATTGGACGGGGCACAATCGGCTAAGGCCGCTGCTGACAAGTGTGGAGTGTTTGCCGCCGCACTCCTTCACTCACCAATATCCCCGTCTCACTTGCACCGACTAGGCCCGTCTCGCTCCCACGGCCCGCTCGTTTTTCAATTGTGTTTGCCGCGATTATACGACTGCCCGCTGCGCCTTTGACAGCAGCCCGAACCGATCCGGTCAAAGGAAACCCTTCCAGGCACAGAGAGAAATTTAGATTAGTTTGGTAAGAACTCATTCCATATAAAAAGATTGCATTATAAAGCTAGTAAAGATAGGAGTGTATTTTTAATGGGCAACATATATTACTTATTCTCAGAATAAATATACAATTGTTCTCAGTGTAGTCCAGAGCCCAAGACTCTTTGCCTTAGAGCCGCGGAATTGTAAAAGAGAATTGGTTTTCGCCAAAACGGAAGGGAATGGAGGAAGCGGAAACAGAGGGCATTGCAAGGGGTGAAGTCTCCCTAGGGGCCTCTGCTTGGCATTTGAAAAATTACTTTTACCAAAGCTAGTTAAAATATTTTTTAGCGGATTGTCAATCATTAAGGCAATTCAAAGTGACGAAGGAAAAAGATAGAATGGCTTAGAAATTTTTAAATAAATTTTTATATAATAATTTATTATTGAAAATACAAACCTATTATTTCACATATTTTAATTTATAACTTTACAGTTTTTGTTATTTTTCTACATATTACAATATATATCCATTTGAATATTCAAAATGCTTGTTTTTGTTAAAGAATAACCACTGTACTGAAGAAGATAGCGGATAGTCGAGCTCTCCTTACAACACCTTGGTGCAATTATTCATTCACTTGCTAACCGGAGCGGAGGAGGGGTGCTGGCGGCAACCAAACCGCCAGACAGAATCTCCTCTTTTTTAACCAAAGGCAATAGCAATGGCAACGCAAAGGCAACGGCGAGATGCAAACAACAATCCGCTTCAAGTCGAAAATAAGAAAAAGGTTTATGAATGCGCTCATGAAAAATGGAACATCGTTAAGAGCAATTCATAATGAAATACGCGGCATGTTGGGGATTGGAGGGAAAGTTCTCCAGACCTGGATCTGGACTGGGACCTGGACCTGGACCAACTGCAATAAGCTGAGCCCAGGCGGTCGATCTCCACTTCTTCTTTTTTCGGTTTCTTCGCTGGAAGCAGCATAAAAATTATGACCATAAGCAGGATATTGGGTTAAGGTTTTATTATTCTTACCTCCTTGTGTGTTGCCAATAAACTTTGTTGCTGCAGCTGATTTCCACCTTTCGTTTTCTCCTCTTTTTTGCACGGTTGTCCAAATGAAGCTGTTGCAATGCCAGACGAAAGCGGTATTTCAATCAGAGCTGAAAAATAAGGGCATGCCAGATTTATATATACAGATATACATATGGTGCTATGCAAGCCTTATCAATAATTTCGTTTTCATATGCGCATCGTCAGGAAGATACAGATGGGGCCATAAATATGATTCCCCTTGGCCGGAGTCGAGTGGCTAGGGAAATTTATAGAGTCTGTTGCTCGGGCTGTCAGGTGAAATAAATAATAAATTCGTTATTTTTCGAGGCTCGGCCAACCAAGACTGCGGCAGCAGTGGTGGTGGTGGTGGCTATCAACAGTCGGCGAATAACGACAATAACTCCAGGGGCGTATGATAGAGGCACGCCCACATTCAGCAGCCCCCAAAAAACTGGAGTCCGAACGAACATCGTGCTCCCTGCACAGCTGCAAATCGCACTCGGACATCGTGGGGGCCCGATGGGGAAACAAATTTGAATTCAATGAAAGATGAAATCATTAAGTTTGCAGGCAATTGAAGGCGGCTACGAATGCGGTTGGCTTTAATCGTGCCGGAGTCGCACAATGGGCCTCGGATCGGATCGAATTGAGTTTGGGTTTGGGCTTGGCATTGGCTTGGCTTGGTCGGAGGGAGGCGATGAGATTGTCCCGGCTGTTATGACACAGGCCAGACATTCACTTCACCGAAAAATGTTAAGGAGGAAGTAGGGCCGCCGAAACAAAAACTCAATTAGAGGAGGCCTTTAAAATGGTTAAAAGAAGGATTAACATAATGTTTGGGAAAAGGTTTATACCTAAGGGGTATTATTTGAATATCCTGTGTTAATCCAAATATGGTTTATAATTATAAAAAGTTTTCACAGGCTTTCTACTCTACTTCTGGGTTAAACCCCCACCCCATCTCACACTTTGCGACAAAAACTGATTTCTAAAGTTTCCTATTATCCTTCAACTACTACCCATCCTATCTCAAACTATTGGTCCTATCCATGGGAATGAAATTGTCGCCACTTCGTGCACAAGGCAAAAATACGGTGGCTAATGAGAGGCATAATCAACTTCCCATATTGCATACACAATTGATGCCAATGCCCGGTCCATGCCCAATAAATATCAACAGCCACACAAATTTGCCTGTTGGCCAACTGCAAACTTCAATAAGACAAAAAACGAGGAACGAGAAAACCAAAATCCAGAGCCGTGAGCCGACAACAAAAGCGCACATAAATCAACGATCAAGACAATTGCGGTGTAATAATTTTAACTTCTTTAAGTCGGCAGCCAGCCCACACCGCACACCACGGCACACCACCCGGCACCATCCGGCACCACCCTGGCTTGCCCAGCACCACCAACTCCACTCCAACTCGATCCGATTCGGCGGGGGCCCATAAAAATAACAGCTTATCGGCAAGAAGAATCGTGTCGTGGCACGCCTACCAACTCAAAAAGGCATTAAAATATGAAAACAACAATTGCACACTCGTCGGTTGAGAGGAGGATACATAGGAGGGGGGCAGGAGGGCAGGTGGAACTCACCTCCAGGGGAAATCAACAGCAGTCTGGGAGTCACAGAGTGGCCGACACGCCCACTTTTCTTCATTGTAGGCGTCAGCCGTTGGCAGCGGCACGTTTTCCACCGTGAAATTCCAAACTAACCCCAACCACCCGCAGCATCGCAAAGGCGAGTCAAGTAAGAGGCTAAACCGAAGATATATAGGTGTATCAGGAATAGAGCCCCGCCCCTCACCCACTGTCCTTGCCACATCGCCCCATTGTTCAACCACAGGCGGATGAAAGTCCCAAGTCGCGGGGGAGGGCCGGGTATTGCGAGGGAGCGGGCAGTTACAACTTAGTTAGCTCAGCTCAACCAGAATTGCAGGCGATATCTCAATTTGGGTCTCATAAAAATAACGAGTAATAGGCCATGTCCAAAGCACGGGGCCTAAAATAATACGTTCCGACCAGGAGATACTCTTGGAATTAGTATTATTGTAGTGCTTAAAAATATAATTATTAATTAGCTTAATAATTATTTTATAATCAATTAAGAAAGAGGTCCATCCTCTTGGAAAACCTGTCTCTGATTTCAGTTTTCCTAGTATGTTGCATACTTTTTTGGGGCGTTATAGCTTACTCTTGGATATTTTTCATAAAATGCAGGATCTGGAGTACTTGGTATACAATCTCAGGTGGCCAACTTAAAACATCTGTTCACAGAGTTAACAAGCACTGAGTAGTCACTCCCATTACAGTCTCCTATTCATCCCTTGACATCTCCATCAAGACACAATAGGTCCGACAAGCCCAACACAAAATCCCATAGCCCAAAAAAATAACCCAAAAAAATTTGGTTTTGTATTTTGGTACCCAATCAGATGTTTGAGTTTTTCTAAAACCGGGACCGCAAAATTGACCATGGCAACGAAGCACCCAACTCCCCGCCAGCTGGCTTACCTCGATGAGCTGAAGATGCGTCTGCAGGAGCTTCGCGATCGGCAGGCCAGTTTCATAGAGCAGACGGCCAAGATTCTCAGCCGGATGAGCTCCTCCAGTTTGGATCCATTAGTTCCCCAGCCAGTGCCCAACAACCTGCCGGAAGGAAATGTGGGCGAGAACCCTGAGACTGATGGAGTGGCCGGAATCACCAAGAGGTCCAAGGGCAACCTTAATATCAAACAGCTCATCCAGCGCTTCGAGGATCTGCGCAAGAACTCCCAGGTAAGATTGCTTTATTATGCCCGATACTTACACATTATAAACTTCTATAGGATTTTGGTGATCTGCCAGAGGTCCCAGAGGAATTGATCAACGTGGATGTGCGGCGCATTCTAAATGGCTATGAGAAACTCATAGAAGACGGCAATGTTCTTCAGCACTCCTGGTTCATGCTGAAAAAGAGCACGGAAAGTTGTGCCCGTTTCGCAGGTGCCAGTGGCATGAACACAGAAGAACTTTCTCCATCAGAGACAACCTCGGGCATCGTAGAGGTGACATTTGTGGTACCAGAACCTAGTCCACAGTTGTTTAAGATATCCAAGGCTAAAGCATCTCCATCACTGCACTCAAATGTGGTTACCAGTTCAGAGGAGGGAGAGGTATCGAGCCCGAAGGATGTCAACTGTAAGAGTAATGCCCAGGAATATGGTAAGAACCTATTATACTAGCAGAAAGGATCAATCCCATGTAGGTAAAACCAAAGTACTAACTAAATCTTAGGTCATGCGCGTTGGGGAGCCTTCATGCAATTGATCATTCGAATCCTTCGTCCTTTCCATGGATGCAGTAAGAACAAGAAGAATTCCGCTCAGTGCGTTTCAGACAACCCAGTTGCCTGCCACCTGCCGAAAAAGAAGCGCATCCACTAGATTTCTTCAATAGCTAGGCACACACTCACAAAATGCACCATTGAAGATCCAAACTAAGCCAAACCAATCCCGACATAATCCCACTAAAAATAATCCAATAAAACCGACCCACAAGCAAAGAGATGCGTTAATCAATAGCCAACACCACACGTCAGCGTGTCAATATTTTGCCTAATTAATGTGGCCCGGCTTGGGTGCAGTGGCGCATCAATTTCGGGTGTCAAGTGCAATGAGGGGGAACGATCGCTCTGTGGGTCCCACTACCCCTGCTCTGAATCCGGACCACCATCAGCTAATGTATCTATATAGCCAAAGCCATAGCCACAGCTGAAGTCATGCGATGGCGATGGCGATGGCGACGTATGGCAGCAACTGCTGCGCTGACAGCGCATTTTAGTCGCCCATGGAATACCGAAAATAAATCTTGCCCTGTCGTGACACAGAGCGGATGATGCACTGTTCGAAATGATGTTTACCAAAAACTTATTACAACTTTAAGAAAAAAGATAGCTGATCTTAATACAGAAATTATATTAACACATTTTCAAAGATATGGGAAAACGTGACTTTTGTTTCCATATAAAATTTAAAATTTTATTTACAATTTGATTGCTGTTTATTTTCGCAGTGTATTAAAGGAGTGATACATCGGTTGGGGAGGGGTGGAAACACTAAAAGCAAAAGCAGACAAAATACTTGGCCCCACACACAACACCACGCATAGCGAGAAGTAAACATTTAAATTTAAATTAAGTGGCTTGTTCAGCATCTCCGAATGCAGCAGCTAATGAGCGGAGGCCCACTCCATGTGGGCAGCGATAGAGGAAGACACTTTTTAGGGGCGGAGAACTCAGCAGGAAGCTTTCACGTTCGGATTAAAAACGAAATTGATATATTTACTTAAGCGCATGGCCCATTCAGATATGTAAAATAAACATTTTTCAAAGCATTAACTTGAGAAAGTTGAACTACGGTTCATAAAGGTTATGTATTTTAAGAGATTTGCCACAGAATGACCAGATATATGATTATATTATCATATCCCTCTGAAATGTACACCTGCTGTGCGACTAACTTCCTGTAGGATAAATCAAGCTGTACACATTTATAAATACCTAATTAATTATAATTAAATTTACAAGCATTTAAATCAGAAATAACAAGTCTAAACTGGAAGGCAGACACGAATTCCAGCCACACCTTACCAAGCCATAATAAGAAATCATGTTTGGCAATGATTTGTGGCATCGATGCCGGTCCGCAGCGCAGTGGATATCTATATATATATATAGATATTCATGGGATTGATCAAGAGGGGGCAGTATGTTGGGGGCAATGGCTTATCTGCGGAGCTGACACGAGTGGCGATGACGATGGCGATGTTAATCAACGACAGGCCTTCGCTGCATGCAACCAACTGGATAGAGTAATATATATATAGATATATAGATATATTCACGACAGACAAGACAACGATGCCGCAACATGTGTCCACGGATCATCGAGGGGCAACAAACGAGTTGCAAAGTGGCTGACACCGCTGTTCCGTTCCGTTGGCGCTTGAATCGTTGTGACCTGCAACATTATTTGCCGTTTGCAGGTGGAAAGGCCCACTAAATATGGCAGGCCAGACCACATTGTTCATGAGTTTTATTTGGTCAGTTCGGCTTCAAGGTTTGCAGCACGTTTTAACCTCTGTTATTACTATGGTTAATAGGGTTGATCTTGATTGTCCAGTACATAAATCATAAGCAAAAATCTCGAAACAAAGTGGGTTATAACCACATCCACTTTTGGTAGTAATAATAAATAACTGAGGTTCTTATTCTGGCTAATTGATATACTGAATTGGTTCTAAGAGTGTATAATTTATTCAAAAAGGTTTTCATTGGAAGCATTGACATATGTTGTCTAGTTATTTAGAAAACCTCTCTTTATTTGTGTTCCTATTTTGATATTTTAGGTAGTGATGCCAAGATTTAAATGATATACCTGTATCTTTCCTATCCTAACTCTTGTTTACCCAGACTTTTACTACACATCTGAGGCAGTCGGTTAAATAAATAACCAACCTATCAGCTAGTAAACATCCGAAATGTCGACGCCTAGTCAAACATGGCCCTCGGGATTGTTAAATCTCGAAATCTAGTTCCGCGGAATGCCCAACAATTGTAAACTGACATAGCAAACAGTTCTGGGAATTCGTCATCGCACATTTCAGAGGGGCGGAAACGCGACGAGCACACGCCCACCTACATAAGTTCGTGGGCGGAGGGAGTGGCAAGGGGCGTTGGGAAGCGGTGCTCGCTTTGATGTTGCCCCGACACACGTTGGCAGACGTCTGTTCACCTAATTATCACACCATTTGAGGCATCGTAAAAGCGAGACAGCCAAAGGTAACAAGAGGGGGAGAGTATGGGTGGGTGGATTGGTGGGGGTGGTGGGCGTTTCGGGAAGCCAAATTCAAGTTTCATTTCGCTGCATTTGTCGTGCATATGGGGCGCATCATAAACCCATAAATGTGTGAAAGGCGGGCGGCAAGATCAAAGCCCTTCGGGAAACAAACTCCGCAACTCGCGAAATAGAAAAAAACGAAAAAATTTTGAAATTTGTATTAATGGAAAATACGGATTTTACGGATTTTTTAAATATTAGTTTATTACATTAAAATTTATATTAACCGACATTTTTAAGTATTTTTCTCATAACAACCAAAAAGTGGTCGGATTATGGAATGACATACCTCGTTGGAACGAACTGAATCCAAAGCTTAGAATTTAAACTTTTGATCAATTTTTTTTCAAAAATGCTAAAGTTAAGTCCACACTGATTTTACTCTCATTTAGTCCCATAACAAAGTAAAAAAATTGATCGTTGAATTATTAAATTAATTTCCAATCGACCGGCATTTAAACCTTGAAATGTGCACTTTTTAAGCAAATTTTTTGCAAAAATTAATCTTTGAAAAAATTCGAAAATTTACCAAAAATTGCCATTTTTCCAAATCGTTTTATGGGTCGTTAATATTGGCCATTAACCCAATCTTTCCTTCACTCTAATAGCTGTGTGGCCCATTTTTATGAAGTTAGAGCTAAAAATTTGATAAAAATTATTGAATATTATCACAAAAATTTAATAACCCTGATGTTTCATACCCTAATTAAAAGTTATTAATTTTAATTTTTTATAATATTGCCAACCAAACTAAAATAAATATTTCAGATTTTGCTTTTTGTTGAAAAACTGATGTCACACAACCAGGATAAACAGTTTTAAATTTAAAGTCTTATTGCCAGAAAATGGAAGGTAAATTATACTCAGAACTTAATATACCTTTGAATAAATGAAGCCCTAGAATGCATTTATCATGTTTACCGGCACTCCAGCGAACTGGCTCTCATTTGAGTTTCCATTAATTTCAGTGTACAAAGCAAATTAGCAGCAATTTACATCCGTTAAAGAGTAGGATATGGAGGGCGAGGCCGGGGCTTTTACAGGAGAAGAGAGGTCGCGGGGAAGCGAATTAGACCTCGGTCCGGCGGGAAATGGAAAATCCCGACCACCGCCAGCTGCACTTGCACATGCAAACTAATAAATTTCATTGATGTGTCTATTTTGGGCAGCCCTCCTCCCAGCTAAAGAGCCCCGAAGTGCCTGCAACGGAAGCAATTTGTAGCTACAAGCTGTAATTTCTACGTCCCACCCGCCACACACTTTTCCTCATAGCTCTTCCTCCCAGTTTTCCCTCCAAGTGCCTTTCCAACCCAAGAGCCAACGCCTCTACTTCTGACATTCCTCGACCAAATAAAAAAGACGTCGATAATTCTTAAGCAACGGCGCGAAAATCGGGCAAATTTTCGCTGTCAGTGGTCGGAACGTAATGGTTGGCATTGGGAAAACGAGGTGAAAGGGGTGTGTTACACTAGACCTCGTTGGCTTTAGCAAAGCAATTGCTGCACATTTTATTTAACCCTTTTTATGGCCTCATTATGGCCCAAAAAAAGGAATAGCGCTTGGAGTGCAGACAAAATATATATCTTTTCAGCTGAAAATGAGGAAAACGGGGCTTTGGGCTTTTGGGGGGTTGTGGAACTCGAAGCGGGTGCGAAATGTCTGGCGGAAATGAGGCTAGGAATCAAGCAAATAAATGTTTTATAAAATGTTTCCAGCACACAAAGTAACTGAGTGCGACTGAGAGGGCCAAAAGGGCCGTTCCCCAGCAATTCTCCAGCCATTAAAATGAAATTTATCGTTCACAATGTTTTATGGTTTTCGAAATTTCGTGCAAAATGGAGTTACTTGGTAATTTGGAAGGAAAATGAATGTTACCAAGCCATGGGTTAATATAAAATGTTACTTTGTCTCTTGTTATTTCCCGAGAACCCTGAAACACACGACTATTGAAAGGACAACATATTGCTTGACTGCACTTTGAGATCCTTTAACAATCTTTATTCTTATGACTAACATTGATTGTATATTAGGGCAAAGCTGCAGTTTCAAAAAAAAAACTTTTAAGACAAACTTTCTGCTTTCTATTAAGTATCACAAAGGAGTGAAATCTGTTTTTAGACCAACATGATTAACTCATATAGCAGATTCTTGAATATCTCTCCTCACCCAACATTTATCAAATGAAATCAAATTGTTTTTCTTTCGTTCTGGACCCCGAATGGTCGGTAAATCTCTTCAACTGCAATTCATATTCCCCACAGAGAGCCCAGCTTTTGCCCGTTTCGAAAAAAGGGGTGGAGTGGGAAATTAATAGCGGCTAAAACTTTCAACTTTGCCAAAGGGAGAAGCTGGAGCAGCAGCAGCAGCAGCAGCATCGCCAGGAGCAGGAGCAGGAGCTCACTTACTCATTCATTCAGTTTAGCAAGGGGCAACTTGTGGCCATAAATTTGCGCGCAGCGCCAAAGTGGAAAATACACCGAAAAATTGCGGAGGCAAGTTGTCCGACCTGGCCAAAAACCCATCCTTTCCCCTCCTGCTTGCCACACACTTGACTTGTGCCTGTTTGGAGTGCAGGATCCTCCTTTTGGGGCCTGTATCTAGCGCACTTTCAGCGCGACGATAAATTTCCAAGGCAAAATGTGTAAATTATAAATACGAGC